ACACACACACACACACACACACACACACACATATATATATATATATATATATATATATATATATATATATATATATATATATATATATATATATATATATATATATATATATATATACATATGAGTATACTTCAATAATTATTCAATTTACTTGGCTACTTGTGTTTATCAAATTTGAAGCTTATTTTGCAATGATATTTCGCGACACTGAAAGTAGCATCTTGAGTACGTTTGCATAGGTTTGTCTTTTATATTTTACTTGGAAAGGTTCACTTGTACCAGTAACAATAAGTCACTACAGTTTGGGAACAATATTATTCTGTGTGCCCGGTACTGTGAACAATAGGCCTCGTAGGTATTAATGAATTGAGTGGAAACCATTATCTTGATGTGAGGAGTGACCAGAATTAAGACGACGGAACCCGTATGAAGAGAGATCTGATCAAATAACAATTAAGCCGTTTACAAATTTTATAATCCTGGCAACATTCAACGATGCGCGTGCTAATCATTAAGGATGCTTTGCCGGTCAATGAAAGAGTTATGAAAAAACCCTTCGTACCAGTCTGTCAATGCCGTAGCCCACCAGGACATAACATATCGCTAACACCTTGTAGAACCATTCTGAAGCCAGTAGTAATGCTCCCACAGTGTATGCTAATAGCCATGCGCTGACCATTTAATTCAGATGCCGATCAAAGCCATTGCATTGGCCTTAACTCTGTTCACATCTGGACTGCTACTGATTATATTGGGGTCTGCTATCATAACAGGACACTTCGGATCGAAGGTGTGCATTGTTGTGATACTGTTTGTTGCTCAGCCTGGTTCTGCGCGAAGCTCGCCTGTGTAGCATTCATGCGTTACTCATTCGAATGATCTCAGCATGTCCCTGTGCATCATATTGTGCGCGTTTTTCGCACGTGCGTTGCCGTATACTGAGGTGGGACTTTGTCTATTCTTTTTTGTTAGACCACTTACAATGCCAGGTATATTTTTAACAGGAAAACGACGACAGAGGAATTCCATTGCTGCTCCTTGGAGTGCTGGTTTTTATCCCCGGGGGCTACCACACTCGCATTGCCTACTATAGTTACAAGTAAGTATACGTATCAGATTGTGCCGTGAACATAACCTAATGACCATCCGAATGATACTCATTCTGTCACATGTCTAGAACTTTTTTCACAGTGGGGTATTAGTGCAACCAGTCACGTTGTTGCCAGACAGATGTGCGTAGTTCGGAAAATCAAGCTAAATACGGTTTATTGACGCACTTGCCATCGAAGTGTTTTACTAGCCTTATAGTGCAAGCCAGTTGGTCTGCAGTCGCGCGCCTCAGTCATCGCCCTATGCACTATCGCGAAAAAGAAATATCTTCAGTATATATAGTTACTATTTTGGAAAGGTATAGCTGTATACATAATATATATTTTACAATCTGGACTGTCGTTAAGTTTCAGGACTGCACGCGCTTCAGCCATTGCTCACCATCTAACACGACTCTTCTTCTCGCTCCATCATTTCTGCTGCGCTCGGTTAGGGGCGTGAAGGGGTACTCATACCACGATATACCCACAGGCCAATAATTCTACGCTCGCGATCGTCTGATGGCGAAGTATATGCAATATACGTTCTCGTTAAGAATGCTATTCGCGAGTCAATCATCGGGTATGGCGCAAGTGGGATCCGAGCTGTGATACTCAAAGATGCAGCCGAAAGCATACCTACATATAGGGGTCAGTGACCAAGCAACATCCACCCAATAAAAGTATATCTACTGAAGGATGTAGAAGTTAAGCTGTATATCTGTTTGCGGAAGAAGCTTTGGACTGCAATGTTAGCTAACGAGAAACGAATATCATTTCTTTGCTTCATTCGCAACTTCGGCTGATGCGTTAGTTGTAGAGGGTGGTATGATTTATATCTGATAGCCATATCAGCAATAGTGGCGTACCTATTTCGACGTGGCTTAGAGTATAGAAATCAATTCTCCATTTTATTCCTTGAAACTATGCGCAGAAGTACTATTGGAGTTAAATACGATACGGGTGGGAATGTGCTCAGCTCATTCATCACCATAAGGCGTGGCTGATGTTTTCCGCCACCTGTGCATGAAGGGGAGATCGACTGAAGTCAATTGCTTGTTGAATGTGGGAGAAAGGCGAATAGTAACAGCTTCATACCAAAAAATGACACAAATCATGCAGATGCTGAAAAGCTATGTCTGGATCACGAGCAACAGTGCCAGTAGAAGACATGAAGCAGCAATGGCAGCTCACTATTGTAGATATGACTTAGCAACAACACCCCATAAAAAAGGACATGAGTTGGTAAGACAGCGGTCGAATGGTAGGCCAAAGATAGCGAGGACAGCACCGTGACCGTCAACATGCGGTACGAAGATAGGAACAAAGGTGGCCAAATATAGCATTATACGGAACTTGCATCATTTAGCAACATAAAATAGCAAGTTCCCACCAGTGCTGCGTTTTAGAGTACATATACATATACATATCTACGAACCTTGAAAGTAAAAATTGTGAAACAGAATTTGAGCCGTGAGCGTCCTTTGTCGTCTGTGTCGTTGGCGTCGATGGCTGTGGTGGTCGGCGAATTGTGTCTACTATCTCCCCTGTTTGATGAGAAAAATGCGCAACATCAGCGCTGTATGATATGTTGTTGCGGTCTTGTGTATACTGAAGTGACGTCTGTGGTGGTGTGTTGTTTTGTATTTGCAACTGATTTCCCTGTATTACGTAAATATAGTATGCAATTCCAGTGCATGAATTACTCTGATATCTTCCGAAAACATTGAATGGACAACTCTTATTTCTTGATATAATAACCCCTGGGAGATAAAAATTAATACAGTAGGTACGTCAGAGTTACCTGGGCATTAGAGAGGAGTATCGCCCATAACTCGAAGGCACTGAATTTCATTCTGTTGACACTGCAACGCATCATTGACAACTATGCATTGTGCAAGCATTGCCCCACATATATAAAAGTATTGCAAAGTCAGTTGCTGGCCTTGACTTCCAGCAGTAGAATGGTCCACCGTGAAAGCTTCATGTTGCTCATAAAACTCCACTATTTAGGTCAATACACTGTCTCCTTGTCTTGTAATACATATTAGTAGTACCGTAGCCAAGGGAAAAAAAATACTCTATGCAGCCCACAGCATGCAGTTCAAGTTTATCTACCTGCGACGGGTTATGCACAATATATAGTTAAATAAAACCGGTACCACTGAACACTCCAGAACACACAAAGTAATTACAGGGATAGTCAAAGTAACAAAAAATCGATCGCCATCTAAAACTCTGACAGTCAAACCAGCTGGGATATTGACCACCGCACATAAACATATGATGCGTTGCTTCTTGGCCACAGGATACATATCACTAGGAAAGTCTCCACATATGAATTCAAGAAAATTTGCATGCCGACTTCTGGATTTGACATACCAAGCGCTCTGGGACTCTGTCTGTCAAGTTTCTCGAATCCGTGCATTAACTCGGCGAGTGTCAGCCTAATAGCGGCATCTGATTCTTTCGCTATCATCTGGATTAGTAGTGCACAATGCCTTATCAAAACGGTAAAACCAGTCGATACGAGGGATATGGTCTTATGATACATTTTACATTAGTCATTACACAATTCGGAAAATAATAATTGTAAATTGAGATGTAAATCGAAAGTACTTACTTTCGATAAAATGGGCTGGAGCATTTGAAGGGAATCGACACTTTCCATGGCCATCATGTCTCTCGCAACTTGCACCCCCATTAGCGGACTTCGTTTATCATGATTTACCACCATAGAACCCTACAATACAAGATAGCGCTTGTTATTCGATGTAACAGATGGAAAGTTCATTCACCCTCACTAAGAGCAGTATTTGACTTGGGCCAGCCAGTGCAGTATTATATAAACTCAAGCCCAGAGAGATGTTTACAAGAACAAAACTTGATTCTAATAGTGACCATAGGCAGTTTGAAGTGCCAATGTATTTACACATTCTTGATTTGACATCGTTTCTTTACACAAAACGTAGAAAGTCAGGCATGTTTAGTGCGTGCAACGATTATTCGGAGATGTAATTCTATTTCATTGATTGACAGCAGAGACCGCCGCATCCCAGTAAATCGTCAAAGACCCGCAGTACGTGAAGGTCGGCTGCGGCACACATATACAGTATCTGTACAAAGTCACACCAAGTACCTTTTTAATTGTGGCATCATCCCATTCGAATTCTGCTTCATCGTCCACAACCGGCTCTATAGTAGGACGTTGTTTCTACAAAAAGTACCGCGTTCAAATGTAAGGCAAATATAAAAATAGTATTAAAGCGTCGTCGTAGATACACCGTTCACACCCGAGTAGAGTTTTAGGTATGATGACAAACAAACAAGTTGGCGTTGTACCGACAACATGTACTGCATGTCGATGTGGCACAATGTATGACGAGCTAAAACCCTATTTAAAAATGTCACCATACACAGTAGTGAGTCATGTCAATTGATGCCAAAAAACAGCCAGGCAACTTGCGACGTAAGAAAGTAGGTATGGCAGTTCGCTGGATCGTGAAACATATGAGTGTACGGATTATACTGTACGTATAGCAGAGGAGTTGTAAATAACATGCTCAGAGGCAACCATGTACATGTTGTATTCAGATACATGCACATACAATTGTAGCTTGTACTGTGTCATAAGACCAACTGGTGACCGTAGCGTCGTTCCCTCTGTCGTGATGAGAGTCTTGGCTTACATTATCCTCCTCGTCCGAGTTCTGATTATTAGCCTCGTAGAAATGGAACCTGTATAATACCGGGAACCAGAAATTGAATAACGATATCACCTCACAGGGAAATGGAAAAGAGCGGCGTCGATGAGGTGAAGAATAATCTAGGAGGAAAGGCATCAGTTTTGCGACAGAAGTATAGCATGATTGCACATTGTCAATCAGACCTTAGGTGACATACCGTTCTACCAGCTCTATGAGTATATTCGTACGTGCTGCATTCTTGATGAATCTATGTCTAAGTAGGTCTTTAGCGGACGGTCTCTGTGAGACGCAATTGAAGATAGTTCAGATGGGATGATCAGAGGATGAATTTGGATGCCAACTCTCTCGTCCTTCCAGACAGGCCAACTACATTAATATGCGTACATGTATCTAGACTAAAACGCAACACTATCATTAGCATTACAAAGCTCACCTCTTCAGGGTCTTTCTTTAAACACTGGTTTATAAAGTCTTTGAAGTCGCGCGAGTATTTGCATTTAGTCTCATCCAGTTCAGGAGGGGGATCTCGGGGAATTTGGAACAGCACTTTCATGGGATGAATATTAGATCTGGGTGGATGACCCTCCGCCAGTTCCATGGCTGTGATACCCAGCGACCATATGTCTGCCTATGATGGAGCAAGTACTCGATATATCAACAGAGTATAAAAATAGGCACAGATAGGGCTGCACTTACATCCATGTGTACGATTTCAAGATCTAGCGTCCAGATTGATATTATATAGGCCTATGTTAGATAAGTGATCTCAAGACTTAAAAGATGCCAGAGGGCAGATGTAGAAAATGGGACGGTACACAACTTAAACCCATTCCCCATAGTATATTTTTGACCGGAAATACCACATGACTAAACGGTTGACTTGAGATTACAAACAACAATACAGCTCCAGTAACTTAAGCAACTGCGGCCGATGCAGACATCCATGCCCACTACAAATAGGCCGCCTTTCATACCGAGCAGTTATATCCAGACTGACGGATAACCTCAGGCGCCATCCAGTATGGCGTGCCGACGAACGTGTTCCGCTTTGACATGGTGTCACCAATGCGAGCACTGACACCGAAATCAGCCAGCTTCACATTGCCATCCGCACCTACTAGGATATTGGATGCTGCTCAATTTTAAGGTGAATATAGCAGAGGATCAGTTTCAGACCACAATCTTATACTTTAGGACTAGGCGTGATACCCGAGCTGGTTGGGTGATCCGCGATTGCTTCAAAGCTACAATGAGCACGGACAATGTGTGCGTTGACCTCAGTCAAATCAAGCGCAAATTTGTGATGACGGTTTCTGATCTATGCTTACTGTGCGCGACCACATACTACAGTATACATTTCATGAGCGGCGAACAAGAAGCTACAGTCGATGCATATACCGAAAATAACTAGAGACAATGACACCATAAACAGTGTGACTAACCGGTGCACGACCGATGACAAAACGTACTGCAATGAAAAGAATCATGTTTACGAGTATGCTCGCTATCCGATGTAGCACTCACATGTCAAAATGGAAGCGGTACGCATAAAACAATACCAAGAGATGATAGACTTACACCTTCGAACGTCAACCACTTCTACAGTAAATTGATAGCCTAAGTTGATGCTTACATTTGATATCTCTATGGATCTTATTATTCGAATGCAGATACAGAAGCCCGCTTAACGTCGCTCGAATGAAGGTAGCAATATGTTGCTCCTGCATGACCCCGGCCTTCAGCTAGTAGAAGATATTGGGTCGTTAGATACTGGGTTTATCGTTGAAAGACTCAAGAAATCATAGAGGCAGAGATTAATAAATTGATGAATATCTATGGAGTTGAGGCTATAAATAGAACGTATACCTACATGTAGGTAAATGTACAATAAAGCTAATCACGTAAATCAAATGCTAACGACAACGTACACATATGTACTTTAAATATTGAAAGTGGTAAGAAGTTCCTATTCATGCCAGCAGAAATAGGCTGACAGCCGCAGATTGACTCAACTACTCACACGCACCCACTCCCACCCACCCACCCACCCACACCCACACCCACACATATACATACAT